GAAGTTCAGATCAATAGCAGCACCCTGCAAAGCCTTTGACCAGGAATGCAGGAAGAGCTTCAGCTTGCCAGGGTGGTGTCTGGAAGGGAGGAGGGCTTGGTTCTCCAGGTGGAGGGTTGGAGACCAAAATCCTGATCCCTGCCTCTAACTGGACTCCTGGGGTCCTTGCCCCCAGCCTAGACATCCAGGTCCCGAAAGGGGCACTGGTGGCCGTGGTGGGGCCTGTGGGCTGTGGGAAGTCCTCCCTGGTGTCTGCCCTGCTGGGAGAGATGGAGAAGCTAGAAGGCAAAGTGCACATGAAGGTGAGAGAGGCAGGGGCTCCTGGGCAGGGTGTGGGGCTCAGCCAGGCCTTGGGCAAGCCCCGAGGTAAATTTCTCCTGTGGCCAGGGCTCTGTGGCCTACGTGCCCCAGCAGGCATGGATCCAGAACTGCACTCTTCAGGAAAACGTGCTTTTCGGCCAAGCCCTGAACCCCAAGCGCTACCAGCAGGCTCTGGAGGCCTGTGCCTTGCTAGCTGACCTGGAGATGCTGCCTGGTGGGGACCAGACAGAGATTGGAGAGAAGGTACGGAGTCTTATTCTATCCCTAAGGGGCTAGTCCATAGAGCTGCCTGCCTCAACCTAGCCCAGGTCCATATATTCATCCCTTCGTTCACACACTGGTGTAACGTTATACCCAACTCTGTGCCAGGCACTGAGGAAACAGATCTATTAGCAAATCTGTTTAGTGAACAAGTAGGGGCTACTGAATATTCTAGGAGCCAGGCTGAAGGCCTGTGCAGGGTACAGAGAGGGCGCAGCAGGGAGCCTACATAAGGAAGAGCATCACTTTTTTTTTTCCTTTCTGAGATAAGGCCTCACTCTGTTACCCAGGATGGAGTGCTGTGGTGAGATCATGGCACGCTGCAGCTTGGAACTCCTGGGCTCCAGCGATCCTTTAGCCTCAGCCTCCTGAGTAGCTGGGACCACAGGCACATGCCACCATACCCAGCTAAATTTTAATTTTTTTTTTTTAGAGACAGCATCTTGCCATGTCGCCCAGGCTGGCCTTGAACTCCTGGGCTCAGAAGATCCTTCCACCTTGGCCTGCCAGAGTACTGGGATTACAGGCATAAGCTGCTGCACCTGGCTGAGCATCACTTTTTTTTTTCTAGACAGAGCCTTGCTCTGTCACCCAGGCTGGAGTGCAGTGGTGCGATCATGGCTCACTGCAACCTCCACCTCCCGGGTTCAAGCAATTCTCATGTCTCAGCCACCCGAGTAGCTGGGATTACAGGTGTGCACCCCCACACTTGGCTAATTTTTGTATTTTTAGTAGAGACGGGGTTTTGCCATGATGGCCGGTCTGGTCTTGAACTCCTGGCTTCAAGTGATTCCCCTGCCTCAGCCTCTCAAAGTACTGGAATTACAGGTATGAACACCACGCCCAGCCTTGAGCATCACTTTTGAGCTCAATTTTAACAACTGAGGATGAGTTGCTTATCATTTATCTATTCATTCATTCACCATATATTTATTAAGCACCCACTCTATTCTGGGAAATAGTATACAGTAGTGAATACTAAAATACCAGGCTAAAATCTCTACCTTCATATAGCTCACATTCTTGTGGCAGGAAGACATAATAAGAAAGATAAATAAGTACAATATATAATATGTTAGATAAATGCTCCGTGGGAAAAATAAAGCAGGGAAGGAATACAGGAATGCCTGCAGGGTTGAATTATTGAGGTAGCTTGGGAAATCCTCACTGAGAATCAGAGAACTCAGCAAAGAGACCGAGTGAGCCTCGTCAGGAGCCAGGAAGCTCTGTCTGGGGCCACGGAACCCTATGTGGGATCTTGGAGTTCTCTGGCATGACTGGGGGTTGGGAAATGGAGGGAAAAGATAAGGAGAGGCAGAACCCTGATTACCTTAGTTAAGATTTTGGCCTTTACTCTAAAAAACGTGGAACATTGGGGAAAGTTTGGAGTTTTGCTTTTTAATTATTTTTAACTGTGGTAAAACACACATAACATAAAATATATCATCTTGCCAGGCATGGTGGCTCCCAGTACTCTGGGAGGCTGAGGCGGGTGTATCATTTGAGGTCAGGAGTTCAAGGCCAGCCTGGCTAACATGATAAAACCCTATCTCTACTAGAAATACAAAAAAATTAGCCAAGTGTGATGGCACGTGCCTGTAGTCCCAACTACTCAGGAGGCTGAGGCAGGAGAATTGCGTAAGCCCAGGAGGCAGAGGTTGCAGTGAACTGAGATTGATTGTATCACTGCATTCGAGCCGGGGTGACAGAGCGAGACTCTCTCAGAAAAAAAAAAAAAAAAATCATTTTTCAGCATGCAGTTCAACAGTGTTAAGTATATTTACATTGCTGTGCAACCAATCTCCAGAACCCTTTCATCTTGCGAAACTAAAACTGCATCTACTAGGCAACTCCTCATACTCCTCATTCCCCACTGCCTCTAGCCCCAGTAACCACCATTCTATTTTCTGTTCCTAGGAATTTGACTATTTAGTATCTTAGTCCATTTTCTATTGCTTATAAGAGAATACCTGAAACTAGGTAATTTATAAAGAAAAGAAATGTATTTTGTGCAGTTATGGAGACCGAGGAGTCCACGGTCCAGGGGCTGCCTCTGGAGAGGGCCTCTTGTTAGCGGGGCGTCTGCAGAGTCCCAAGGCCACACAGAGCATCCCATGGCAAGGGGACCAAGCATGCTAGCTCAGGTCTCTCTTCCTTCCTTTCTTTCTTTCTTTCTTTTTTTTTTTTTTTTTTGAGACAAGGCCTCACTCTGTTGCCCAGACTATAGACTGGAGTGCAGAGCGTGATCCTGGCTCACTGGAACCTCTGCCTCCCGGGTTCAAACAATTCTCCTGCCTCAGCCCCCCGAATAGCTGGGATTACAGGTGCATGCAACTACAGCCCGATTAATTTTTGTATTTTTAGTAGAGACGGGTTTCACCATGTTGTCCATGCTGGTCTCGCACTCCTGACTTCAAATGATCCACCCACCTCAGCCTCCCAAATTGCTGGGATTACAGGCATGAGCCACCACGCTCGGCCTCAGGTTTCTCTTCCTTTCTTATAAAGCCACCAGTCCCATTCCCCCAGTAACCCATTCACACATCAACCTATTAATCCATAATGGATCAACCATTCATGAGGGCTCTGTTTTCATGACCTAATCACCTGGTAAACGCTTCCCCTCAATCCTGCCACACTGGGGGGCTAAGTTTCAACATGAACTTTGGAAGGAACAAATATTTCAACCATATCACCTAGGTACTTCACGTAAGTGGAATCATCCAGCATTTGTGTTTTGGTGGCGGGCTTATTTCACTTAGCATAATGTCCTCAAGGCATAGCCATGTTGTAGCATGTGTCAGAATTTCTCTCCAAGTAAGACTGAATGATATTTCATTTTATATATATATATATATGTATATATATATGTATATATACACACACACACACACACATACACACACATTTGTGTGTCCATTCATCCATAGATGGGTTGGGCAGGACACCAAGCTGGTCAGGATGGTGACCAATGGAGCAGAATGGCCTCACCTACCCCAGGAGGACTTACCCTTTACCTCTGTCCCTCACACATTGCAGGGACAGACTAGGCCCCATGTGAAATACAGATTCAGAAGTCTGCTGTTCTGGCCAGGCACGGTGGCTCACACCTGTAATCCCAGCACTTTACTTTGGGAGGCTGAGGTGGGCCGATTGCTTGAGCTCAGGAGCTCGAGGCTAGCCTGAGCAACATACGGAGATTCTGTCTCTATAAAAAATAAAACATTTTAGTCAGTAGCCAGGCATGGTGGTCCTGCAATCAATCCTAGCTACTCGGGAGGCTGAGGCGTAAGAATTGCTCAAACTCGAGAGGCAGAGGTTGCAGTGAGCCAAGATCACACCACTGCACTCCAGCCTGGGCGACAGAATGAGACTCCATCTCAGAAAACAAACAACAAACAAAAAAATCTGCCATCCCAAATAACAGTGCACAGGCCATTGTCTCCCTGTGCCTGTCTGACCCCATTTTTCCCACCCCCCGCCTCCCTCCAGGGCATTAACCTGTCTGGGGGCCAGCGGCAGCGGGTCAGTCTGGCTCGAGCTGTGTACAGTGGTGCCGATATTTTCTTGCTGGATGACCCACTGTCCGCGGTGGACTCTCATGTGGCCAAGCACATCTTTGACCACGTCATCGGGCCAGAAGGTGTGCTGGCAGGCAAGGTGAGGCCTGCCGGAGGCTAAGGGGGCTAAGGTGAGATCTGAGGCCCGAAGAGAGAGCTGGTGAGACGCTGAGGGGTTTGGATGCGACCTGGAGGTGTCGGGGGGAGGTGCGAGAAGTGGGCATGTGGGTTGGGCATCAGGAGAAACCTGTGGGGACAACTCCCCCACCTGCGAGGTTCTCAGCAGCCTGTGGCGAGCACAGGGTGAGTCACCCATGTGCTTGTCCAAGCTCCCTGGCACATGGGCACACCTCACACTCACTCTGTGGCTCCGTGCCTGTGCTGGGGGTGTGTGCGAGGGTGGTGGGGGTGACAGCCCGCTGCCTTCTCCCCAGACGCGAGTGCTGGTGACGCATGGCATTAGCTTCCTGCCCCAGACAGACTTCATCATCGTGCTAGCTGATGGACAGGTGTCTGAGATGGGCCCCTACCCAGCCCTGCTGCAGCGCAATGGCTCCTTTGCCAACTTTCTCCACAACTACGCCCCCGATGAGGACCAGCACCTGGAGGACAGCTGGATCGGTATCTGCTGTCCTGGGCTCTCTGATTCCTGTGCCTTCCCAGCATCCCTTCTGTCTGGGGTCTCTGAGTGTGTCTAGACTGGCCTAGTGTCGTGCCAGGCAGGTTCTGGGAAACTTGGGCCATGTGTGTGACAGTCACCAGAGGGAAAGTAGACTAGACATAGTCGAGTCCCACTGCCTCCTCCACCCTAACTGTGGGAACTCAGATCCTCAGCTCCGGTCTCAAAGCCTGTTTTCTTTCTTTCTTTTTCTTTTTCTTTTCTTTTTTTTTTTTTTTTTGACGGAGTCTCACTCTGTCACCCAGGCTGAAGTGCAGTGGCGCAATCTCAGCTCACTGCAACCTCTGCCTCCCAGGTTCAAGTGATTCTCCTGCCTCAGGCTGCCAAGTAGCTGGGACTACAGGCATGCGCCACCACACCTGGCTAATTTTTGTATTTTTAATAGAGGCAAGGTTTCACCATGTTGGCCAGGATGGTCTTGATTTCTTGACCTCGTGATCTGCCCGCCTTGGCCTCTCAAAGTGCTGGGATTACTGGTGTGAGCCACCTTGCCCGATCTCAGAGCCTGTTTTCCATCTGTTGAAAGCATAGGAGGGCCCAGGCCCAGCTTGTGTAGCAAGGCTGCTTCATGGATAAATAGTTTGGCAAGTCTGCAAGTGCTTGGCACAGCCATTTATTTATCAACCAAAATTTATTGGACAATCACTATATCCAGGCACTGTTCCAGACACTAAGATATAGCAGTGAGCTAACAAAAAAAATTACAGTCCTCATGGAGCTTGTTGAAGTCTCTGGCTCACAACATGCCCCTGGCTCCTTGTTGCCCAGACCTAGTTCCGCAGCCCCCAATTCTGGATTGGCTCACAGACCTTTCCTGGGCTTTCTTGCACATGGGTATATGTACAGCCAACGTGCCTTGAGCATTTACCAAGTGCTGTGCCTCTTGCTCACACACTAGACACATTTTCTTTTAAGCCTACAGCCTACAGTCATGCAGATTTTTTTTTTTTTCTTTTTTTTTTTTTCCCTCACTCTGTTGCCCAGGCTGGAGTGCAGTGGTGCGATCTTGGTTCACTGCAACCTTTGCCTCCCGGGTTCACGCCATTCTCCTGCCTCAGCTTCCTAAGTAGCTGGGATTACAGGCACCCACCACCACACCTGGCTAATTTTTGTAATTTTAGTAGAGACGGGGTTTCACCATGTTGGCCAGGCTGGTCTGAATCTCCTGACCTCGTGAGCTGCCTGCCTCAGCCTCCTCAAGTGCTGGGATTAGAGACGTGAACCACCACACCCAGCCAAGGACATGGGTTTTAAGCTCAGCCAGTCTGACTCCAGAGCCCAAGTTCCTAACCCTTGTATTTGAGTCCCTTTCTCCATAATTTGTGAAGAGAAGTTTTTCTTGTTGCCTAACCCAAGTCTTTCTTGTTGCCCTTTCAATCCCCCTCATTTTATTTTCATGCTTGTCCATTGAGCCCCTTTCATTAGAGTGGGGAATGGGAGATGCCAGGGGCGTGCAGGGAGAACTAGCTGAACTCTCTCCTTCCTCCAACCCCACTGCAGCGCTGGAAGGTGCGGAGGATAATGAGGCACTGCTGATTGAAGACACACTCAGCAACCACACGGATCTGACAGACAGTGATCCAGTCACCTATGCGGTCCAGAAGCAGTTTATGAGGTGAGCTCCTGAGAGCCCCCAGCCCTCCAGGAGGCTGTATCGGGGCTCCCCAAGCCCTGCCAGGTGGGGTACAGGTTTCTCCCTGACACTCCCAGCCTCTGTCCTGGGGGGTGCCTGAGGCCCCCTCCCTGGGCCTGACCAGCTGCCTCCACAGACAGCTGAGTGCCCTGTCATCGGATGGGGAGGGACAGGGTCAGCCTGCACCCCGGAGGCGCCTGGGTCCATCAGAGAAGGTGCGGGTGACAGAGGCGAAGGCAGATGGGGTACTGACCCAGAAGGAGAAAGCAGAGATTGGCACTGTGAGTCGGTGGGGCAAGAGGGGCTGGAGGGGATGGACAGGCAGGCCCCAGCAGCCCCAGGGTTTATGGAGTCTCCTGTCCCTGACTGCCATGGCTGCTCCCTATAGGTGGAGCTGAGTGTGTTCCGGGATTATGCCAAGGCTGTGGGGCTCTGTACCACACTGGCCATTTGTCTCCTGTATGTGGGCCAAAGTGCGGCTGCCATTGGAGCCAATGTGTGGCTCAGTGCCTGGACGAATGATGCCACGGTGGACAATAGACAGAACAACACTTCCCTGAGGCTGGGCGTCTATGCCACCTTAGGAATTCTGCAAGGTGAGCCTGCGGGAGTGTCCAGAAGGGGCTCCAATATCCCTTCTTCTCTGGGCTGCCAGGCGCCCCAAACCATGCCCTTGCATCCAAGCCCCCCTAACCCACTCTGGTCAACCCATGTCTCTGATTCTACCCCTTCGTGCCCGCTCAATAGTCCAGGTGAGCCAGTGCCCTCTGCCTTCTCCAACAGGGCTCCTAGTGATGCTGTCAGCCATGGCCATGGCAGCGGGTGGCATCCAGGCTGCCCGTGTGTTGCACCAGGCACTGCTGCACAACAAGATACGCTCGCCACAGTCCTTCTTTGACACCACACCCTCAGGCCGCATCCTGAACCGCTTCTCCAAGGACATCTACATCATTGATGAACTTCTGGCCCCTGTCATCCTCATGCTGCTCAATTCCTTCTTCAATGCCATCTCCACTCTTGTGGTCATCGTGGCCAGCACGCCGCTCTTTACTGTGGTCATCCTGCCCTTGGCTGTGCTCTACACTTTGGTGCAGGTGTGGGGTGGGCGTGGTTCCAGTGTGGGTGTGGTGCTGGTGTGGGGCGGGGCATCCACATGGGCGGGGGCAACAGGGTTGGGACGCTTCAGGCCACCAGCATTACAGGGTTTTATTAGGGGCAGTCATTGCTTAACATTTATGTTAGGGGAGCCATTACTTAACCTCTTTGAAACTCATTTGCCTCACCTGTAAAATAGAATGACTCATAGACCTTCCTCATGGAGCTGGTGAGAGAATAAAATGAAATAGTTATACATTGTAGCTGGCACTGGGACTTTCCTGTTGGCTTTTTTTTTTTTCTTTTTTTTGAGATGGAGTCTCGCTCTGTCGCTCAGGCTGGAGTGCAGCTGCACAATCTCGGCTTACTGCAATCTCCGCCTCCCAGGTTCAAGCAATTCTCCTGTTTCAGCCTCCCAAGTAGCTGGGATTACAGGCACGCACCACCACGCCCAGCTAATTTTTGTAGTTTTAGTAGAGATGGAGTTTTTTTATGTTGGCCAGGCTAGTCTTGAACTCCTGACCTCAAGTGAATCCGCCCGCCTCAGCCTCGCGAAGTGTTGGGATTACAGGTGGGAGCCACCATGCCTGGCCTTCCTGTTGGCTGTTTTTTTTTGATGAAACATTGTCAACAGTTTGGGACACGTTATCCTTTCCTTCCTTTTACACATATCTAAACATACGTGTATGCATGTGTTTAACATAGATGAGGTGATACAGCTACTGTAAAAGGCCTTTGCAGACACTGAACTCCTGTTCTGTAATGAATTAGTCAGTTGCCAGGGACAGATGCTCAACACCTGGGTACAGCGACCATGCTGTAGGCTGTGCTCTGTGCTGGGCTAGGGGAGCATCAGATAGAGATCCTGTATAGTCCTGGATATACAGGACTATAGGCCACGGAGGAGAGGATGGAAACTGGAGGCAGAGCAGTGTTGTTGTGGGGTTGAAGCAGAGACAGTCAGAGGGAAGGCGTGAATGACACATTAAGGCCGCAAGTCTTGGGTCCTTGGAAGTGGGGGAAGACAGTGATGTCTCGTGGTGGGAGTGAGGCTGGCTGGGAGGACTCATCTGAAAATGGATGAGTTCAGAGACAGGCAGGACTGAGTTGGGGGTTCCATGGCCCTGACCCCAAACTCCTTCTCCCTCCATCAGCGCTTCTATGTAGCCACATCACGGCAACTGAAGCGGCTGGAATCAGTCAGCCGCTCACCTATCTACTCCCACTTTTCGGAGACAGTGACTGGTGCCAGTGTCATCCGGGCCTACAACCGCAGCCGGGACTTTGAGGCCATCAGTGATACTAAGGTGGATGCCAACCAGAAAAGCTGCTACCCCTACATCATCTCCAACCGGTCAGAAGCCGCCTCCCTCACTCCCTGCTCCTCCAGGAATTCCCAGCAGGCTCTCTGGTGTTCAGCGTCCTTGTCCCTCCTTTCCTCTAAGCAGAAAACTGGCCCCTCCCTGCCCCTGCCCCATTTCCTCCTCATCTGATCCCTCACAGGTGGCTGAGCGTCGGAGTGGAGTTTGTGGGGAACTGTGTGGTGCTCTTTGCTGCACTATTTGCTGTCATTGGGAGGAGCAGCCTAAACCCGGGGCTGGTGGGCCTTTCCGTGTCCTACTCCTTGCAGGTATGAATGACCTGGACCCCATGGCAGGGCCACCAGTGGGACAGATACCACACAGGTGTTCCAGGCATCTCCCGAGTGCCCCTCCCTGCTCAGTATGGGCACCAGCCACAGGGTCTGCTCTCAGGGACTGTGTGAGAAAAAAAAAGGAAAAAAGAAAAAAAAAATCACTGAGTTGACAAGTTTATAACCACACACAACAGCTGGATGTTCCTACTTTCCTTCCCCAAGAAGCCCATGTTCTCACATTCAGAAATAATTCTTTTGAATAATCTCTGTCCTCAAACCCCACATCTCCCTCCTGCTCAGCCGTCGACCTTGCCTGACACCTCATACTCCAGCTGGAGAGACCCCCAGCAGCAGGCCATCGTGCTTCAGGCTAAGCAGGTCTTTGTGGCTGGAGAAACAAAAGGTTTTAAAAGCCCAGAACGGGGACTGGCCGCAGTGACTCACACCTGTAATCCCAGCACTTTGGGAGGCTGAGATGGGTGGATCACCTGAGGCCAGGAGTTCCAGACCAGCCTGGCCAACATGGTGAAACCTCATCTTTACCTAAATACAAAAATTAGCCAGCCATGGTGGCAGGCATCTGTAATCCCAGCTACTCGGGAGGCTGAGGCAGGAGAATCGCTTGAACCTGGGAGGCAGAGGTTGCAGTGAGCCAAGATCATGCCACTGTACTCCAGCCTGGGTGACAGAGCGAGACTCCATCTCAAGAGAAAAAAAAAAAAAAAAGTGCAGAGGAGTTTTCTTGCTTTGGGGTGTTGTAGAAATGATCTTGGAGCTTAGCCCCAAAGGACAAACAGAATTTGTCTTGTCTCTGGGCAAGTTGTAGGCTCATGTGACAGGTCAGGACAGTGTAGGGCTGGCATACCCCTCACATTCACAAGCTTGCAGAGAAAGTACACAGACAAGGTGACTGAAGCCTGGGTTGCAGGTCAGGCAGGTCATCCTGATGCCAGCTTGTACTGTCAAAGAGTCACCTAAATGCAAATGGAATTTTTGCAAAGCAGATCACATTGTTAATACCTCAGGTGGCTCAAATCTTGAACGCGCTGGCAAACAAAAAGCAATCCAGAAAGGTCAGTTTTCACAAGCGTCAGTGTGCATATGAATCAACTTGTTAAAATGTACATTTTGATTCAGTAGACCTAGGATGGGGCTCAGGACTCTGCATTTTGATCAAGACTCCTTGGTACGCAAAGCGTGGCCCATGGGCCAGTTGCATCAGCGTTCTCTGGGCGCTTGTTAGAAATGAAGAATCTCAGGTCCCAAGTCCCACGTCAGACTATGGAATCCGGCGTTGCATTTTAACAAGATTCTCTGGGAAGTCTTATACATATTAAAGTTTGAGAAACAGCAGACGAGGTGGTCCTTGGTTAATTCTGCACTGTCATCCATGGGCTAGGATCCCATTGATGGGCACTTGATCCAGGAGTCTGAACTCCTCCCCAAGCCATTGTGGTGGGGAGGGGAGATCACCACACCTATAACCCGGTCTCTTTGGCCAGGTGACATTTGCTCTGAATTGGATGATACGAATGATGTCAGATTTGGAGTCTAACATTGTGGCTGTGGAGAGGGTCAAGGAGTACTCCAAGACAGAGACAGAGGTGGGTACTGGGATGAGCCTGGGATGGGGGAATCTGAAGTAGCTGGGGAAGAAAGCTTGGTGGCCCTCCCTCCCTAAACCTCAGGGCCAGCTGTGTATGCGACTCTTCATTCATTTATCCATTCACTCCTTACTGAGTATCAACCACCGCTCTGTGCTAGGAGGTCCAGAGAGATCAGAGTTGAGCAAGACGGTGTTTGCCCTCAGGTGATTCCAATTTGGTGGGAGGGGTAAGACCTATTGCAGAGCTTTGCAATGGATGACCAGAGCTCTGGTGTGGTGCACCCGGAGTGGGCAGATGAGGGAGATCCTTCGGCTAGGGTGACCAGGGCAGATGAGCTTAGATGAGAAGGATGGACAGGCCTTGATAGACTAGGTAAGATGGTGGGGTGGGCAGTGGGAAGGTGAGCATTCCAGCCAAACAGACCAGCCTGGGCAAAGTGGAGGTGGGGCAGCATGCCCTTTGTTGGGGAAAAGGAGTTGTCCCCTACTAGGGGTTCCAGACTTTTCTCCACCGCCCCCTCTCATGGTCACACCTCAGACCTCTTCATGCCCAGAAGCTGTAGCATCGGTGTCAAGTATCCCAACTTTGGCCCACGCTCCTATCCCTCCTTGTTCTCATGTTCCAAGTCCCCCTCTGTCACAACAGTCTGCCTTCACTGGGATCCCCAATCCCATGACCCCCCTTTGTGTCTCTGTCCATCAGCTTCTCTGCCTTCACCTCCCTCCCCGGCCAGCCTAGAGTCTATGCTCCACCAACACAAATGCTCTCACCTGCCTCACCCTTCTCTCTCAGTTGTACTCACCTCCAAAACCCCACCCCCGCTGAGCCCACCAATCTGCCTTCTTCAAGCCTGCACCGAGCACTTAAAACCTTGCAGGAGACCAGCTGCAGTGGCTCATGCCTGTAATCCCAGCACTTGGGGAGGCCAAGGCGGATGGATCACTTGAGGTCAGGAGTTCAAAACCAGACTGGCCAACATGGTGAAACCCCATCTCTACTAAAAATACAAAAAAATAGCTAGGCGTGGTGGTACATACCTGTATTCCCAGCTACTTGGGAGTCTGAGGCAGGAGAATCACTTGAACCCAGGCGGTGGAGGTTGCAGTGAGCCAAGATTGCGCCACTACACCCCAGCCTGGATGACAAGAGTGAGACTCTGTCTAAAAAAAAAAAAAAAAAAAAAAAAAAAAAAGCCTTGCAGGAGAAAAATCACTGAGTTGACAAGTATATAACCACACACCACGGCTGCATGTTCCTACTTTGCTTCCCCAAGAAGCCCGTGTTCTCACGTTCAGAAAAACATCTTTTGAATAATCTCTGTCCTCAAACCCCACATCTCCTTCCTGCTCAGCCGTCGACCTTTCCTGACACCTCCATGAAAAAGTAGGTTCTAAGATGTGAACTCCCTCAACCTTCCTGCCGCTCGGTCTTTAAATCCGCCTGTGTCTCCTTCACTGTCGTCTTCTTTTCACTTTTAGCAGGAATCATCCCTTCCTGTCTCAAAGGCCAGCCCCTCCATTTCTTCCCATGGCTGCTTAAGGACCTGGCTTCCTCAGTCCCACCCTCCATCTCCCGTCATTCTTGCTCCCTCTGTTGGACGCTTCCCATCCACATGCAAAAATATTCCATCGCATCTTCCATTCCAGACACACACGCAAACCCTCCCCCCTGCACTCCACTGCCCCATTTCTCTGTTCTCCTCTGTCGTGAAGCATGGTTTAAAGTATGGTCTCCACAAGCTCCATCCACTTCCTCATCAGCCTTGATCTCATCTGCCTCCTGCAGTCCTCTTTCTGGCCCTCGCTCCACAGAGACAGCTCCTCCAGTGACCTTCCTGGTTCCAAATCCAGGGGATGCTTTTCTGTTCTCATCTAATTCAACCTCTTAGCAACGTCCCAATAAAATGACCTCTCCCTTCTTCTTGGAGTCCTTGTGGATTCTGTGGCCTGCATTGCACCTGCCAGTCCGCCTGCCTGACCCCAGCCTGGCTTCCCCAGGCATCACCCTCCAGCCCTTCACCCCTCACTCTCTGGGAGCTTCCAGTTCCCCCGCTTCATGTCTAGCAGCCCCGTTACTGCAGGGATACCCGTGCTCCTGTCTCTGTATCCTATACATGTCTGCCCTCCACCCCACGGCCCGTTCTCTTCTCCAGTGCCTCCTCGCGAGACCAGTCTGCGCCTGCTGCTCTGCTTTTTCACCTCTGGCCACGAGGAGAACCTGCCTCGAAGCAGGGCTGGCTCCATGGGAACATAGCCTGAGCAGTCGCAGGGTCTCCACTCCCAGAAGAGCTGCGCATTTAGAGTAATGCTCTGCCGTCAGCGCCTTGACATTCTCCATCATTCTTCAACAAGAAGCCTCAGGTTTTCATTTTGCACTGGGCCTCCCAAGTTATGTAGCCAGTCCTATCTCAAAGCCACCATCATCTTATGCCCTGCTAGTCTATTCTGCTTGTAGCAGCCAAGAGATTTAAAAAAAAAAAAAAAAAAAAAAAAAATCACGTCATTCTCTGTGTACAGCCCTCTAATGGCTTTGCATCTTAATCAGAGTTTAAAAAAAACAAAAAAACAAAAAAAAACAAAACCAAAAAAAAACCATAGTGCTTACAATGGCCTGCAAGGCCCTACATGATGGGGCCACCACTGCCTCAGCCTCTTACCTCTCGCCTTTGCTGCTGTGCTCCAGAACACACCTAGAGCCATTTATGCCTGCTGTTTCCTCTGCCCGGCATGCCCTCCCTCCTGATATCCACTTAGCTTCTTCCCTCACCTCCTTCAGGTCTTTACTACAGTCTTTGCCTCCTCCAGGAAGCCTTCCCTGACCACCTTGGATAAAGCAGCAACACTAAGCACTTCTTGGCCCCTAGCACTCATCACTTCTTACATTGTATAGATTTGCTTATCCGTTTGTTGATTATATGCCTCCCTCTACTAGAACGTAAGTCTCATGAGGATGAGGACTGTTTCAATGGGGATACCATTGTATCCCCACTGCCTGGCACTGGGCTGCCACCCTGTAACAATGAATGGGTAAAGGTAATAAGAGGGGGAGTTAGGGCAGGCAGGGAGGGCACTTCAAGGAATATAAGGTGTGGCACAGTGGCTCACACCTGTATTCCCAGGACTTTGGGAATCCTCCTAGGCAAGAGGATCCCTGGAGGCTAGGAGTTCGAGACCAGTCTGGTCAACACAGCAAGACACAGTCTCTTCAGCGTTTCTCTTTAAAACATTAGCCAGGTATGCTGACACAGGCCTGTAGTCCTAGCTACTCAGGAGGCTGAGGCAGGAGGATGGCTTGAGCCCAGGAAGTCAAGGTTGCAGTGAGCTGTGATCGCACCACTGCACTCCAGCCTGAGTGACAGAATAAGGACTTGTCACAGAACAAAACAAGTTAGCCAGGCATGGTGGCATGTGCCTGTTGTAGTCCTAGCTACTAGGGAGGCTGAGGGAGGAGAATCACTGGAACCCAGGAGTTCAAGGCTGCAATGAACCATGATTGAGACCCTGTCTCTCAAAAATTAAAAAAGGAACACAGGCAAGCAGGGAGACTGGGAGGGGAAGGACAGGGGAGTGTTGGAGTAGATTTGTGGAGAATAAAGTTAGAGGGATAAAGGGGTCATTGAATACAAGGCTGAGCTATAGGGGTGCCAAGGACCCTCCCAGGGACCATAGTCGGGGAGGACTGAGGGGTCTTGGGGGAGAGAGACTGAAAGGTGAGAGAGGGCTGCACTGGGCAGGAGCTAATGCAACCCCATCTGCCCCTCCTGCCAGGCACCCTGGGTGGTGGAAGGCAGCCGCCCTCCCAAAGGTTGGCCCCTACGTGGGGAGGTGGAGTTCCGGAATTATTCTGTGCGCTACCGGCCAGGCCTAGATCTGGTGCTGAGAGACCTGAGTCTGCAAGTGCACGGTGGCGAGAAGGTACGTGTGTGATGGGCGGACCTGCATGTGTGTTCGTGCCTGTGGACATGGCCACAGCCCTTGTGGGGAGCTTGGGTGTTTTGAGAGAGCAAGTGCTCCAGTCAGATGTTTGTTCGACCTCCAGGGGAGTCCTGGAGATGTGCCTGTGACCTCTCAGCTTCCCCCTGAGAGCCCTTTTCCTTCCCGTCCAGGTGGGGATTGTGGGCCGCACTGGGGCTGGCAAGTCCTCCATGACCCTCTGCCTGTTCCGCATTCTGGAGGCGGCAAAGGGTGAAATCCTCATCGACGGCCTCAATGTGGCAGACATCGGCCTCCATGACCTGCGCTCTCAGCTGACCATCATCCCTCAGGTACGAGCCTGGCATGGACTGGCCACACTCACCAACGGCCCTGGAGGCAGGCCCCACCCTGTTCTGTAGCTTGAGGATGGAGACTGGGACCCCGGTATCAGAGGCTTCAGCAGGTGGGGAGGGACAGACAGCACAGAGCAGAGCCGCCAATGAGCCACCCCCAGATCTGGAAAGCTCAGACTTGCTCTGCCCAGTCAGGCCCTGTCCTTTGACCTCCTGGGCCAGCACATGGGGAAGGACCCCTCCAAGAACCCCATCCCCTGAGACTCTGTCCCGGTCTCTTTACCAGCTCTAATTACATTTCACTTTTTCTGTCTTCTCTGGGATGTTTTTTTAATGCCGAGTGGACACTCTGGAGTCAGATTAGTGGATCTGGTTCCCGCCTCAGCAGAGGTCTTCGTGATTGGCAAAGCTGAGGTTTATCACTCCCCCACAGGCAATTTTCTATCTCTTTGGCCATTGTCTCCTCTGGGGAGCTGGGGACAGAGTAGGAGTGCTGCCACCTTAATCCCTCTCTTCCTCCCTGGACCTGGGGCCCATGGCTCCTTATAGTGCCTAAGCTGCCTGCCTCTGAGGCCACGTTGTATCCCCAGGACCCCATCCTGTTCTCGGGGACCCTGCGCATGAACCTGGACCCCTTTGGCAGATACTCAGAGGAAGACATTTGGCAGGCCTTGGAGCTGTCCCACCTGCACACGTTTGTGAGCTCCCAGCCGGCAGGCCTGGACTTCCAGTGCTCTGAGGGCGGGGAGAATCTCAGGTAAACGCTGGGAGTGGAGAGGTCAGGAACTGCAGCCCTCCCCGGGGAACCCTGGCAGATGCTGGGAAACCTGACACCAATGACACAGAGATGAGGCCAGCCAGGATGTACACAGGGCTGTCCTTTTGTATTGAGCATATTCTGTGTGCCCGGCACGGTGTATTGTCCCGCCGACTCCTCACACAAGCCCCAGCGGTGGTCCGTGATCCCACTTCACCGATCAGGAAACTGAGGCTCAGAGATGGTAAACCTAAGTTGCACCGCTGGGAGAAGGCAGGTCTGGGATTTGAACCAGCTCTGGGAGAACCAGTTCAGTGAGGTTGTCGAGGCTGTGCTTGGGCTGGGGAGCATGGTTCTGGATGGAACCCATGGAGCAGGTGAGAAGAAGCCCTTTTCCCTCCAGAGCTTTCTTACAGCCCCAGATTTTATGTCCTCAGCCACTGGGCTATGCATCGGAGGGGCCAGTAGTCACCTCTTACTGAGTCTAAAGGTTGGAGATACCTATACCTGTGCTAGCTGTGTGATTTGGGGCAAGTTGCTTAACCTCTCTGTGCCTGCTTTTCTTTCACTCTAAAAGGCAGATAATAACAGTCCATACCTCTGCATTATGCTGCCCAATAAAAACAATGCAAGCCATGCATACGTAACTAATGTTTTTTTCTCATAGCCACACTTTTTAAAAAGGAAAAACAAGTGAAATAAACTATAATACTATATTTTATTTAGCCCAGTATATCTAAAATATTATTATTTCAACACATTATTGATATAAAAGTATTAGAAATATTTTGCGTTTTTTTCATACAAGTTTGAAATCCAGTGTGTATTTCACATTTACAGAATGTCTCAATTTGGGCTAGTCACATTTCAAGTGCTAATAGCCACATGGGGCCAGTGGCTACCATCTGGACAGAGCAGTGTTAGGGTCAGTGTGATGACAGGAAAAGCGCTTCACTTGGATGCACTCCTGTGAAATGTCAGCTCTTCCCCTCCTCCCTTCCCTCCCTCTTCTCCTCCTCCTCCTCCCTATTTTCATTTTTATATTCAGTCCATACTCATGCAGCCTCCCCAGACCTCAAAAACTAAAACAAGGCCGGGCACAGTGGCTCACGCCTGTAATCCCAACACTTTGGGAGGCCAAGGCAGGTGGATCACTTGAGGGCAGGAGTTCAAGACCAGCCTGGCCAACATGGTGAAACCCTGTCTCTACTAAACACACAGAAATTAGCCAGGTGTGGTGGTGGGCACCAGCTATTTGAGACGCCGAGGCAGGAGAATCGCTTGAACCTTGGAGGCAAAGGTTGCAGTGAGCCAAGATCTTGCCACTGCACTCTAGTCTAGGCGACCGAGCAAGACTTGGTCTCAAGAAAAAAATAAACAAAACTTTACATTTGCCCAGCACTGAACAATATTGAAAGCACTCTGGCCTCCATTTTCTCCTTTAATCTTTACCGTGGTCCTGTGGGCCAGAAACGAGGCTCCACAGTTTGAAATGATTTCCCCGCAGCAGCTCAGCTGGTAAGAGGCAGAGCGGGGACTCTGGCTCTGTCCCAAACCTTTCCTTGCTGTATCAGTCACCTCCCTCACCTGGACAACTGGTGGGACTCCCTTGCCACCCAGGCAGCCCTTAAGACTAAATGGGCATCGTAACTGGCTCTCACTTACATAACCACGTGGGGGTGGCTGGTGGACAAACATGGTCTCTCCAGACCCTGTGCCCCATGACTATCTCTTGCTTGATCCATTCTTCTCACCTGCTTGCTCTTAACACTTCCCCCAGAGCATGCCCCACCCTGACACATGCCAGGATCAGAGACAGAAAGCAGCTCCCCTCCTCCCTCACTGAGCTTGTAGCCACTTTAAGTATAACCTGTGTCCTGTGCCAGTTCCACCATAAATCAGCCCTGAGTTCTATCCGGCGGCTCATTCTGCTGCCAAAACCTTCATTAGTTGCGGGAATGGGCCAGGGAAAGAGGCTGGACTTTACTCCGGCTGTGGTGACTCACGCCTTTGGGAAGGGCTGAGGTATTTGTCCTTGGATGTGCGGATGCTGCGGCCTCTGTGGTTGGGAACACAGCCTCATTTTGTCTGCTGGCTCTGGCTTCCACGGCAGGAGGCTGAAGGCGTGTGTCCTGCCCCTCCTTTACCTCCTCAGTGACCAGACACAAAGAGTCCCCGGGTCTTCCACTGCCCTGCCCTTTTCTTGTCCCTGAAGCAGAGCCCTGGTCTGTATCCCCTATGGGGTGGGAGGTGACTGCCTGAATTGTGTGATATTAGGCTCAGCAAGATGGCATCATGTGGCCTATTTGCAAATATCCGAGAAGAGCCATGCAAGCATGTTCTTACTAAGGTGTAAATGACTGATAGAGTGAAGCAGAGAAACATCACGACACTAGTTGAAAAGGCCGGGCGCGGTGGCTCAAGCCTGTAATCCCAGCACTTTGGGAGGCTGAGACGGGCGGATCACGAGGTCAGGAGATCGAGACCATCCTGGCTAACACGGTGAAACCCCATCTCTATTAAAAAATACAAAAAACTAGCCGGGCGAAGTGGCGGGCGCCTGTAGTCCCAGCTACTCGGGAGGCTGAGGCAGGAGAATGGCGGGAACCCGGGAGGCGGAGCTTGCAGTGAGCTGAGATCCGGCCACTGCACTCCAGCCCGGGCGGCAGAGCGAGACTCCGTCTCAAAAAAAAAAAAAAAAAAAAGAAAAGCAAGGATGGGGAAGAAAGCACCGAGAGAGGAGGCCAAGGGTGCCAAGAGCAGACCAGGGATTTCACAATGCCTTTTAGCACTGGCTCGTTCCCCAAGCCCCTCATTATCCCAATGGTGTCCAGACCTCTGCTCCGTTCCAGAGGGCTGGGCTGTGGCAGAAATGGGAAAAGTCAGACAGAAAACCAGTCCTGGGCTGCTGAGGAGTGAAACAGGTCTGGGAATGAGGCCTGGAGGCAGGTGGGAGGCCCCTAGCTGGAAATGCCTACCTTCTCCACTCCCAGCGTGGGCCAGAGGCAGCTCGTGTGCCTGGCCCGAGCCCTGCTCCGCAAGAGCCGCATCCTGGTTTTAGACGAGGCCACAGCTGCCATCGACCTCGAGACTGACAACCTCATCCAGGCTACCATCCGCACCCAGTTTGATACCTGCACTGTCTTGACCATCGCACACCGGCTTAACACTATCATGGACTACACCAGGTGGGACATGGAAACCCGAGCAATGGGGAACTGGTGGGGCCACCTGGGGCATCAGGAGTGGGCAGGGCAGATTAGGATTATCGAACAAGGGAATGTTCCTGGGATTGCTAGGGCATGGTGGGCAGAGCAGAGTTTCCCGAGATCTAGATAAGGGGCAGACCAGAGTGGGGTGGCCTGGGCTCAGGGGTGGGGTATACAATGACATTTTCATTTATTTTTCTTCTTTTTTTTTTTTTTGAGACAGAGTTTTGCTCTATTGCCTAGGCTGGAGTGCAGTGGCTCACTGCAACCTCAGGCATGCACTACCACAGCCGGCTAATTTTTGTATTTTTAGTAGAGATGGTTTCACCATGTTGGCCAGGCTGGTCTCGAACTGCTGACCGCAAGTGATCCACTTGCCAAAGTGCTGGGATTACAGGTGTGAGTCACCATGCCCAGCACCAACAATAACATTTTCTAACACATGGGGAAGGGCACACTGGGCTCCACAGGCACTGCATTTGTGCGCAGGCCACTTGCATCCTGCCTCCCCCATGAGGCGATGTAAAGGGAACTGGAGGCTTCATGCTGAGTCTCATCACTTCCTGAGAAACTTGCTGGCAGAGTGCCTGCATGTCCCTCACCTCATTGGTGTCTCACAGCCACTCTGGTTGCAGATAAGCAGCAGCTCAGGTAGCAGCTGGACCCTGACAGCACCATGAGGAGCTGAGCCTTGTGGGGAGAGCACTGTGTCTGAGCCAGAGGGTTCAGAGTCTCAGGCTGCTGTGTGACCCTGAGCAATTTGCAAAACCTTTCTGAGCCTGTTTCAAATGAAAATGATGCTTCGTGGGATTGTCGTAGTCAATGAAGTCTGGGCACAGTGGCTCACATCTGTAAACCCAGCCCTTTGGGAGGCCGAGGCAGGCGGATCATTTACGGTCGTAAGTTCAAGACCAGCCAGGTCAACATGGTGAAACCCCATCTCTACTAAAACTACAAACATTAGCCTCACATCGTGGCAGGGACCTGTAGTCCCAGCTGCTCAGGAGGGTGAGGCAGGAGAATCACTTGAACCCAGGAGGCAGAGGTTACGCCACTGCACTCTAGCCTGGGTGCAGAGCCAGACTCTGTCTCAAAAAAGCCAAAAGTCAATGAAAGGTATTTAAACTGCAGGTGATCCTGAGAAATGACAGTGTCCTCCCCAGCCCCTTGCTCTAATTCTTGTACTAGGCCCTCCAAGGATGAGGGAAGGGGCCATGCCCTCAGAAGCTTGTGGCTTCCTTGGAGAGGCAGACCACTCCCTCACTGTGCCAGATGTCAAGGTGTGGTGCTGGAGGTTGAGGAGAGAGGGCTGGGTGACTCAGAAGCCTCACGGGAGTGAACTGGCCCTGGCCTGGCAGGCTGCGCTCCCTAGAAACTAGAAGGGAAGAGGAGGCAGGAGGCTCAGAGAAGTTTCTTTTGAAGGAGTATTGTGGGAATAACCCAACAGGCCTTCATTTACTCAAGAAACACTTGCAGGATGGTGGGGTGGGGAGGGTGCCATGGACAGGGCAATGGGTCAGATCTTGTCTCTCTTGGAAGTGCCCCCATGTAGCCAGCAGTGTCTTGGGAGCCAAGCTGAGAATGCCTGATGCTACCCTCTGTCTGTTCCATCCCTCTCCTACCCTTACCCGCTACTCCCATTTAGGACCCCACTGGAAGAAGGGAGGGTGGGCAGCAAGTGCTGAGCCCTGGGTTTGGAGGAGGGACAGGGCTGGCCTCAGAGGACCTGTTCCCAGGCCTAACCAAAACTGTTTCATTCACCAGCAGCCCTAGGGTGGGGAGCTTGGAGCGACCTTGGAGGTTGGGAGTTCATTCATTCTAGTGGAACAAGCAGAAATTAATCAAATAATGACGTGTAAATAGGACCCACAGGAAGGAAGCAAAGGCCTGTGTGTGCAGGCCAGAAAAAGGCTATCCACACAGGGTGGCCAGTGCACTTTCTCCTCTAAGGAAGGGATGCACCAGCCAAGCCTGAAAGAATAAGTTGGAGGATGGAGGTGAGGCAACAAGGTAGGGAGCGAGCTGAAAATTGCAGGCAAAGGATATAACACATGCCCCAAGGCAGGAGGGTACCGGAGGCTGGAGTGCATGGGAGGGAGGCAGTAGAACCAACATGGGGGTGGAGAACAGGCCGCACTGTGCTGCACTTTGAGGACCATGGAAGAGCATTCAGTCCTTACCCAAGAGCAATCAAAAGCCACTGAAGACCTTGATTTTGGATTGGGGTTGGGACTGGGGGGCAGTGGCCAGGCAGTGATGTCACAGACACAGTCCTTCTCAGGACACATGTGGGAGAGCCCAGTAGGCTGAGAATCAGAATGCAGTCAGCCCCCTCCCATGGAGGAGCACTTCTCCAGGCTGGGGAGAGCACTTTCCCCTCCTGCCGTACCCTGGTGGAGCCAGCCCACTGGCCTTGTACCAGGTGTACCCGGTGAGTGGTTGGTGGGAGATTCTAACCCCGGGCCCAGGCCTGGCTATTTGTGTGTGAGCTGGAGACCCACCGAGCAGCAGCAGCAGCAGCAGCACCAGCAGCACCAGCAGCAGCAGCAGCAGCCGCCGCCGCCGCCGCCAGATTTGCAGCCCAAGGCCCAGATTCCAGTGTCAGCCTTGCTGCAGCTGGTTTCCTGCTGTGTGCTTTTCTGAGCCGACACAAAGCAGATGGATGTGCACAGAGCCCAGCGCACAGGCCCCTGGCTCCCTGCGCACAGCCTGCTGAAGTCCTGTGACCCCGGCAAGGGGAAGGGCTCATTAGGGAAGGTTTTCAGAGCCCCAACTAGCAGAGATGAATAGGACCTGGTGTTTGATCCCAGAAACCGCTTCACTTGCCAGAACTAACAGAATGGCTAAAATAATCGGCCTTGCAAGCGTGCACATGTGGTGCGGCGGCTGTGCTGGGTGGGTTGGCATGTCACTGTGGGCCTGAGCAAGTACCCAGAAGAGCAGGATTAGACGATGTGACCAGGTCAGGGCTGATGGAAACCTGACCACTTCTCTCTTTTTTGACTAGGGTCCTGGTCCTGGACAAAGGAGTAGTAGCTGAATTTGATTCTCCAGCCAACCTCATTGCAGCTAGAGGCATCTTCTACGGGATGGCCAGAGATGCTGGACTTGCCTAAAATATATTCCTGGGATTTCCTCCTGGCCTTTCCTGGTTTTCATCAGGAAGGAAATGACACCAAATATGTCCACAGAATGGACTGGATGGCAAACATTGGGGGCACCTTAAGATTTTGCACCTGTAAAGCCTCACAGAGTAACTGTGCTGAATGCTTTAGATGACGAAACGAGCCCTAAGAGGTAAATGACATGCCTAAGGTCACAGCTCGTTTGAGACAGTTAGACTAGTCCCCAGTCTCCTGATTCCTAAACGAGTATTATTTGCACACTACACTGTTTTCAAATAACGATTTCATGAAATGACCTCTGTTCTCCCTCTGATTTTTCATATTTTCTAAAGTTTAGTTTCTGTTTTTTAATAAAAAGCTTTTTCCTCCTGGAACAGAAGACTGCGGCTGGGCCAGGCCACCCCTAGGAATTCCGTCCTGTCCTCTGGGGTGCTGCCTGAATCCATTAAAAATGGAGTACTGATGAATAAAACGACATGGTCAACAATATATACACACTAGTCTTTTTGTGCTTGTTCACAAGGTTTGGGGATTAGGATCTTTGCAGGAGGCCAAGAGGAAGATTTTCTACACATGTACATGGTTGTAGTTACCTGAACTTCAGACCCAAGAGCTCTTGGCTGCAAATATTGCCTTCACGGCCAAAATTCCCTGGGTAATTGCCAGTAGTTCCTGCTCTGCTGTGCAGATATTGTAAAAGGTGAGAAAGGCCCTGAAATCTGACCTGGGGCCTCTTGGGAAAGCTGCTTTGAACACCTCCACATTCATGTCATCCCTCAGCCCTCTACGCCTGTTTCTCTAGGGACTAAGAAGTACATGATGCTTTACTTCCTTGCTTATTTTGAAGTCTGTTCCAGACAGTTCCTATAACCGGTGAGGCCTCCAAGTCATTCATTTTCCTCAGTCCAGCCAAAGCTGAATGTGTGAGCACAAAGAAGCTGAGAGGCCACCTCCTGCCCAGAGAGAAGCCACCCACAGTCCCAGGTTGGCAGACAAGATGTGAGGGGTGAATTAAATTTGTTTTCTTGAGCAAGCCAACAAAGAGTTCCTTTTCTGCAGGTCAGAGTCCGCCTGGCACAGGCCTGCTATTTGGAATGGATCTCTTCTCCTTGTTCCTAAGTGTTCTGGTCTCCTGTTTCGCTCTCATTTCCCCTAACTTTGTCTTGGTAGGATGTGAGTGGGTGTGGGTGATGGTGGTTTTCTCCCCAACCCTAAATGGTTTGCAGTAGATACAGATGGAGGTGGATCCTCTGATTGGTTTTTTCTATATGCTCTGGGTCAGCTTGTACTGCAGGACCATTTGTTAAAGGTTAATCGCATTTTTTTGGCAGGCTGTTTCTGCCCAGGATGTTTATGAGTATATGGAAGATGACTTCCATCCCTGTGATAAAGCAAGTATGAAAGCACAAATGCCCAAATTATTCTGCCTCTCCGTGGTGCTAAGAAAAGGTCTCTGCTATGCTCTCTGATTTATTAGGCCAATTTGGCTTGACGTCTGCTTTGTGAGGTGCTAGCTGGCCTGAACCAACAGAAAAGCAGACTCATTCAGCATCATTCTCAGCTAAAGATCTGGAAGTGTAAGGCTGTGTTTCCTCTCCTGTCTTGGGATTTGCTTCTGAGCTCATTGAGGCCCTGACAGGTGCTGACAACCCAAAGGAGAGGCTCAGTTGGGTAAAGTAAATAGGATAATCAAAAAATGTGGTTAATAGGGGATGACCTCCATCTAACTGGCTCAGCTACTCCAGGGAAATGAAGCCGACTGCTGTGAACTGGAAGGAAAGACACCGCACAAAATATCCGTCCCCAGGTGCTACTGACAGGATATGAGCGGGATGTATGAGCGGGATGTGGAGGAGGCTCAGGTGGAGAGAGGGCCCTTCTAATCTTCCTCCAGAGCGCCTGGTCTCTGGGACTGTCCAACAATTTGAACCCCCTATGATTAGAACTATAGTGCTGTTTAGGAAGCCAAAACGAAGGCGTATAGGTCGGTCAGTTAATATTTAATTTTAATAATACTTGTTATGTTTGAACAGTCAGCAATGCACAAAGAAAAAATCTTCAGTGAATGTTTACACACTGTGAACACATGCTTTAAATATGCAGTGGAGGAGGAGGGGTGAATTCACAGTTAACAAAGCTAAAAAAAAAATCCTTGTTATAAATTACACAAAGCATATAAAAATATTTCTCTGAATGCATAGATTAAGACTTTAAACTCACCTACCAGCAACTGTGCAGTCTTATTCTACTGCGATACGCAGGAGTCAGTTGACCACAGAGGATTTTATAAAGGAGAAGAGAGACCAGCATAGGGCAGAGACACATCAAACCCACCTCTCACCGGAGACACCAGTCCCTTGCTTGCCTCTGTCGCTAAGCCTAGAACATGCCCTGCAGCTGCTCCTCTGGAGGCCATCTCCCAGCCAGGGGCCTTCACTGCTCCACTTTAATTAATCTGGGTGGCTGAAAGTGTTTTAACCCAAGTAACTTAGACATGAATTAATATTGAATTTATTTCATCTAGGATAGAACCAGACTTAACTTTATCAGTAAACTGTAACTATTTTAGAAGCAAAGAAAAAAAAGGTTACTACGTCTAGTTAAATTCACTTCCGATTGGTTGAAACACAAGGGAGGGGCTGGGCGCCCTGGCTCACACCTGTAATCAGAGCACTTTGGGAGGCCAAGGCAGGTGGATCATTTGAGGCCAGGAGTTCGAGACTGGCCTGGCCAACATGGTGAAACCTTGTCTCTACTAAAATACAGAAATTAGCCAGGCATGGTGGCACATGCTTGCAATCCCAGCTACTTGGGAGGCTCAGGCAGGAGAATCGCTTGAACCCGGGAGGCGGAGGTTTTAATGAGCTGAGATTATGCCACTGCACTTCAGCCTGGGCAACAAAGCGAGATTCCGTCTCAAAAAAACAAAAAACAAAAAACAAAAAAAACACACACAAGGAAGGTTTCTTCTTTAAAGCACTGAAGAGAAAGAGGGTAATAAGTAAACTTCACTCTGCTATGCAAACACTGTACAAGGGTGAGTAAGTCACCAGCAGTAATTGGTGGGATACAATTAAGTCACTAAACAGAGTGATTCCGTGAAGTTAGCCTTGAAAAACATCTCAACCTCATTTCAGCATTTAGGCAGCAGCAGGAGGCCATTATCTTAGCACAACATTCTCTTCCGTTGACATCTTCTGCACGTTCTCACTCAACTGTAGTGTTCTAATAAAATTAAGTTAACACAGTTAGGAAGTTGAGTTTCTTTGGAAACTATAGGCACTATGGGGAAAAAGCTTCTTAAGACAGCAGGGATGTTCTTCCACAGCTGGCTTCAAACCCCTGCTCTCCTGTTTGTCTAAGTGTGCTAGTTCTTATTTCTGAAGTTTAGCTGTTTGTTTCAACAAAACAGTGGCTGCTCTTTTAACATTAATGACACTGAAGGAAAGGAAAAGAATCCTTGAATGCATTCTTTTAAAAAATTCCTATGCCATACTCAAGAGTTTAATCAGGTGTTTTGTTTCTGTTTTTCAGAACAAAGTCTGGTCAACTCATAACTGACTTTGTGAAGTGAATTGGTGGTAGTAGTAAGGGGATCACTAAGATCAAACAATTTGTTTACAAAAGCAACAGATTTCAGAATTGTGTAAAAATCCTAATAGTTTCAAAATAACCTTTATCTTTGATACAAAAATAAAGATGCTAACTCCTTTAGCTCAGTTTCCCACAATAACCTTTAAAATAGCAACAGATTCAGTCTCAAAAATTGCTTTTCATTTGTAGTGGAAAATGAAAGTGGAGAACATGGAACAGCAATATTTGTGCTCTTCTCATAGGATGCAGTTACACACACAGATGACTGGAATCACTTCAGAGTAAAAAAAGTAGGCTGGGTGCAGTGGCTCACACCTGTAATCCCAGCACTTTGGGAGGCCAAGGACGGGAGGATCACTTGAGGCCAGAAGTTTGAGACCAGCCTGGGCCACATAGTGAGACTCTGTCTCCATGGGAGGGGTGGGGGTGGGGGTGGGGGGCATTGTAAAAAAGCAGTTGCTCTTTTAGAAGGCATCAGAGAGCCCTCTAGTGACCACGAAGGGGAGTTAATGCAGAGATGACTCGAGAAACAGAGAAGCAGTCATGAGTGTTTACAAAGGAAAAAGTGAGGGAGGGAAAGCTCTTTTGGTTAACAGCATATTTACAATTAGGTAACTGTATTCTTAAATACTTTTAACCTGAGTAACATTTATAAATATGTTATAGGAAACCTCACAGTCACAAGTCACACTAGAATCCATCTGTCCAGTATCTGTGCTTTCCCCAGTCTTCCTCCCTCATAAGTTTCCAATGTCAGGAGAGTTGTGAGCATGCAACACCAAGAAAAACACATCCTGGCCCTTCAGGTGCACTGTCAACAGGAGTGGCTAGAAATAGGCTCCGCTCTCTGTCAGCTTCTGCTTAGACAACTCTCTTACATTCTGAACATAAAACACACTGGATATAGAACCTTCAGCTTCTGCCTCTCCAGACCACTTCTCAGCTGTTCAAAGCTTCAAGCAATAGGTTTATTGTGCACCAAGAGGCTTGGAAGAGTGGCACCGCTGCTTGGGGGTCAGGGGCTTCCTACCTTGGCAGAATGATGTTAGTATATACTACGCAGTGGCACCAGAGGCCCTCCTGGGCATCCGAGGCATTTAGATCAATGGCTTGTCCTTGGCCCAGAGGTGACGCACACTGTCATAATACTCAGTGATAAAAGTCCCTGCTGCATTAGTAAGTCAGTTTTGAAGCTCTCCTGTTATAACAAGGCCTTTCAGTCAGTGTGGATGCAGCATTTCTGAACAGAAAATTATTTTCACTTATCATCAGAACCAGTTCCAGCTCCTGGAAATCTTGGAGTCGAGCAACATCCTTGTCCTAAAACAAAAATATGTTAAACAGATTAACAGGAGCCACTTGTCTCCATATATTTGGTGCACTGTATTGATACCAGTATCTTGTCTCATTTCAAAACTTGGAAGAAAAAAAAAAAATCCCTGTGGCAGGCTAAGTCAGTGATAGTGCAACTAAGGCCCCAGGCTGATTGGGTTGCAAAGTGGAAGCCCTTAAAAACAGCTCAGCAGCTGCGACAACATGAGCACACACTGCGAAGGGAGAGGCTATTCAAAGGGAGAGGCAATGCACAGATCAGTTTCCCGGGTGCCCTGAGAAGCCAGAAACCTGATGTTCAAAAACCCAGAGATGTATGAAGGACCACACATGCATCTATGTGGATTTGCTCTGTAACTGAACTTGGTTCTTCACTTGTAAAACAGAAGGCACATCTAGTAGTGTACTAAGTTAATCCTTACAGATCACTAAAGAAACCGAAAATAGGAACACGTGAATGATAATTCAGAAAATTATCTCTGGTATCAACTTCCAAAAATGCCACTGTTGGCTGATCTGAATGCAAAGGTGTTTCCAACTAGTTTGTAAGAATGTAACTGGCCAAACACCAGTTACAGATGTCTTTGTTCCTTCTCCACTCCACTGCTTCACTTGACTTGCCAAAAAAAAAAAAAAAAAAAAAAAAGCCAGCGTCTCTATAGACTTAGTAGAAGGAAATGATTACATTTGGAAAATCATTCTTTGCTCCTTTTCTATTCTCTGTTTATTTCCTCAACTAACTCATATAACCAAGGAGGGAGCTAGGTATTTTCCAAATGCAAAAACAGCCATTCATGCTTAACAGACTTTTCTTACCTTTCTTAACAGAGTGTTGGGTAACTTTCTGATCTTCTCCACTTGATCTGGATTAACACCCAGCTCGCAGCAACACACTCTGAGCAACTCTTGGTAGGTGAGCTCCTGTCGGTCCAGTTCAATTTCAATGAAATCATTTTCTCGAAGAGATGGGTTCTGAATTCTCACCTTGAGTACCAGCTCTAGAAAAAAAAGGAGAAATGTTAATGAATAGTTCTGGCACAGCACAGCCCCTGTTATTTAAGATCTTTTCCAGAAGATGGTTACACTTAATCATGCCAAACAGACCTGTTTGG